CTTATTTTCAAATATTATTAAAAAAATTTTTGTTTGAATATTTTAATTTTATAAAAATATAGATCATAGCAGTATTATACAAATTTTCTAGGCAAATTTGCCTGGAAATAGCCTACAGATTAAGGGATAAAGAAAAATATAGACAAAAAATAGATTTAAAAGAAGCTTGTCACTATCTAAATTATTCAGTGAGAAATAATGTAGATAAAGCAATTCGATCATTAAAAGAAATAAATAAAATATTGAATAAATAATTTTTAAATATTTTATTTAATAAATTTTATTAAAATTATTATAATAATAATATTATTTTTTTTTTTTACAAGTAACCTCTTTGGCCATATTTTATTAAATTTATTATAATTTGTTATAAGTAACGATTACAACATATTCAAATCTATATAAACCTTAGGACTAATTTATTCACGAGGTATTCTTGACCTAATTTATACTACTCCACTATAGTATTCCTAATTAGGGTTTATGTTACAACTATTATTATTAGGTCACTATCACTATATTTCTTGCATTACTCATACTTACACAGAGATACTACCAAACAGGTACCATAGGCTACATAGAGCATCGTCAATTCTCATGGATAACTCACTATTTGTTGTCTAGCCGGTTTCACTGCTTAACTCCATATCTCCTAGTTAATACATCACTAACTAAAGCCTAGGCCTGCAACTTGTTACATCTTCTTCTGATCATAGAGATGCTAGCGTTTTATGATATACAACTGTGTTTATATGCTGTATGACTATCAATACCAGATACTCCTGTGTATTGGTAGAGTACAGGCTATATTTTGCAACCAAGGTTGCTTTCAACTAGGTTCATAATACATAGTACTACTTCCAACTTGCGTCTGCATTGGCTGGTATTTAATATTAGTATGCTTTTGTACTCAGGTATGCGATTGCACTACTAGCTCAGTACTTTCTGCCAATTCGGGTTTTTACACATATTCTAGATAGTAGCTAACTCTCTACAGAACCAGGACCTTCTAATTTTAGCTTTCACATGTACTAGAGGTATTCCATATCTAGTTAAGACAATCCTTTTCTACAGATTTCTATTATATTTACTGCTTCACTCATTACTCTAGCTTGTATTACCTTCATATCACTCTCCTAAGCAAGTTCTCAACTGCTAGGGATGTTGGTGCTACCTAACCCTTCGAGAACTTATTCGCACAATACTCGTATAACAGAACCTTCTGTGATACTGACTATTACACATAATGCCAACTTGCTCTATAATATCGATCTCCTTCTGGGAATTTCTTTTCTAGAATCTTGTACTTCACATGGGTTTTACCACAGGGCTTCGCATTCGATTAATAGTTTTCATAAGAATTACAGAAGCAAATGCCTCCAACCGAACTCGAACTATTAACCTTGTCTGTGGAGGATTAAGGACTTAATTAACTAAGCCATGAGACCCAACCCTATTATTATAATATTATTAATGCTTATATTGTTAGTTATTTTTATAAATCTAAAATTAAATTTAAAGTATATTAATATTTTAAGTTAATATGTCTTTAGAATTGAAAAACTATAATGATATTATTACATTTGGAGATTCTTTCTCTGGTTTGTTTGTTGTTTGTTATATTATTGAGATGTATTATTGAGATATTAAAGTTCGTATAATATTGTTTTTCTACTAGCATAACCTATATCTGCAGCTTTCTGATAGTATTTGAATACCAATTTCATCTTCATGAATGTATTCAAGTTCATAAAGTTCAGATGAAGTTAAATAGTCTATTAGCAAATCAGAGAATTGAATAGTTGATAATTACTTTATATAATTTTATTAGATTATGTATATTTGTAATAATTAAATCTATTTAAGATTTTATTTACTCAATATTGAATATATATTTCCTATTTCTTTGAACATATCTTAACAATTTCCACTATTTTTATCAGGATGATACTTTAACACAGCTTTCTTGTATACTTTTTTGATTTCTTTAATGAATGCATCATTAGAAATGTTTAATATTTTGTAATAACTCATTTTATTAATTAATATTTATCTTTGGTTTATCATTTATATGTCTTGTTTAAATTATAATATAACATACTAACACTTTTAGTTACCTAAGACATATAATATATTTATTATGTTTCAAGTATGAAAATATTTTATATTAAATCATAAACAAATTCAATGAATATAGTTTCTGTCTTGAATTTGCTAATTAATATTTACTTAAAAAATGAAATATTTGAAATTACAATATATTTTATTGAATTTAATTTTTTATAATCGCAGTGATCGTAATTAGCTAACAACGATAAAACAATAAAAAAATTTTATTTCAATTACTTTAGGATTAGGACAAGAGTTAACTTGACTAATAATAAAAAAATTGTAGATATTTAAATTATCTTATTTAAAACATAAAAATTTTTTAAATAATAATCCTGCATATATTCATAAATAAATCATAATCATAATTAAAATATCATATTTTAATTATAGTTTGAAGCATCAGTAATTGTCAAATCAAAATTATCTTTTAGAATCATTTTCATAAAGAAATTGACTTGCTAGTGTATATGTGTGCAGGATGTTTCAGTTTGAGAGGTTCTGGTTTAACCCTATTAGTATCTGAAAATTGCTTCTTATAGTTATTCTCTTTATCTTGATCCATCTTATTAAGCCAATAACTGATCTTGTGATTGATGATAGTCACTGCAAGTCATTTCTTAGGATCAGTATTCATACATTATTTAGCTAATTTAACATAATGCTCAGGTGTTCTGAGTACAAATTCTAGTCATCTACTATTAAGGATTTGCCTTATGAATATAATACCAAAATACTCTCTATCAAAAGCCCTGTTTTCTGTTGTTATCTCTGTTATAATTATTCCTAGCACATAAATATTTGTAGCTTGTATAAACTTTTTGTCTGTAAAGACTTCAGAAGCAACATATAGTAAAATATCTATAATCTCTTTGTCTGATTAACATCTGATATGAGCTTCAGATCTGTGATGTAAGCACTAGATAAATGATTCTACAAGATGTTTCTACTATAGAAATCGTTATGAATCAATTCTTAAAAATGAATCGATTCTAGGTTACTGGCAATACAGTGTAACAAATTCAGTTTCTTTTTCTAATCTATTTGTAATATGTCACTGAGGTTATCATATTAGGAAAGCTTATTTGCATATTTCATAATGATCAAGTATTTTTTGCTATTCAGATCTTTTGATATTTCATAATAATATAAGAATGATAGATTCTCATACCCGATCTCGCAATACAGTTTCAATTCTTGCAAAAATTTTTTAGTATTCTTGCTTGACCTATAAATCAATTTGAGTGCAACTCATAACCAATTATTTCTAATTTTGTCATGCCAATAAGCTTTAAATATCATCGTGAATTTACCTTTTCTAATAATTTCTTTAGATTATCAGAGATATCTGTTCATAAACTAATAACTTCAATTTCATTATCTTTCTTTCCTTTCGATATCAATGATTAGCTCGATTAATATCTCTTTGTACTCCAATTCCATTTCTATAGCAATCACCAATATATATTAATACTTGAATACTACTCTAGTCTATAGATTTCATCAAATACTCGAATGCCTTTTTCTCATTCTTCTCAACACCAGTTCTAATAAGATAACATTCACTAACATTAAATATTCTATTAGCATGACCTATATCTGTGGCTTTCTTGTAATATTTGAATGCCTTGTATTTGTCTTTTTTAATACTGATTCCATTTTTATAGCACTAACTAATACAATTTGTTCCATTAGCATGATCTATGTTTGTAGCTTTCTTGTAATATTTGAACTCCTTGATTTCATTCTTTTCAATACTGATTCCTTTCTCATAGCAGAAATCAATATAATTTTTTCCACCAGTATGACTCATGTTCACAGCTTTTAGGCAGTATTCAAATGCCTTTTTTTATTCTTCTTAATACTGATTCTGTTTCAATAGTAAACACTAATACTATTTGTTCTACTAGCATTACTCAAATCTGCAGCTTTCAGATAATATTTAAATACCTTTTTTTTCATCCTTCTAACACTAATTCCTTTTTTATAACAATAACTAACTATATATATTCTATCAGTATCACCCATGTCTGTGGCTTTTTGATAGTATTCAAATATTTTATATTCGTTCTTATAGACCTCAGTTCCTTTTTCATAACAAATACTAATATTGTATGTCTTAAGAGTATGACCCATGTCTGCAGCTTTCAGATAATAGTCGAATACCTTATATTCATCCTTTTTAACACTAATTCCTTTTCGATAACAACAACTAACCATATATATTCTATTAGTATTACTTATACCTGCAGCTTTCTAATAATATTCGAATGCCTTTGTTTCGTTCTTTTTAATACTAGTTCCAATTTGATAACAATAACTAATACCATATGTTCCTTGAACATTACTCATACTCGCGACTTTCTGGTAATATTCAAATATTTCTATTTATCTTTTTTAACCTATTTGCCAATATGATAAAAATTTGCAAGAATGACTTTAACTATAGGATTTAATTTATTATTCAAGTATCAATTGATAATATTTACAGAATTCTGATTTTTTTTCCAAAAAATTATCAAATAAGTTAAGAATTTGATCTGAATTTTTGCCTTTGGATCTTTCTTCATTATACAAATTACATAAGTTGTTAACAATTTCTTTATAATCATTTTCCATATTTAAACAATAAACAAACTAGTGTTGTATATACAAAATATTTTCATATTTATTTATTATATTATTATATTATACTGACATGTTAGTACAAGAAGGGTCGTTAATATTACACTGAATAAAAGATCTCATGTTAGTTAGTCATGTAACTGTATTGACCAATGTTTATTCACAGTTGAATATAATATTAAATGTAAACATAATAATATTTCTATCATGATTATATTTTATATCTCATTGTCTTAGATTACTAAACATATCTCAATTTTAATTATTTTGATCAATAACAAAATCCAATACTTTATATATAGAAGCTTACTAGAACCCAAACTCTACTATTCTATCTCTACTACTACTACTGTTATTACTATTATTATTGACATTTTTTCTTATTCTAACTTTATTCTCCAAATTCGCTACTTGAGCTTGCAACCTTTCATACTCTACATCTTGTATCTAAGTTTTTTGAACATTCCTGATGATTGTTTTTTGTTACTTCCTAACTTGTTTTTCTAATATTCGAACTCAATGACATAAATAATTAATTTCTTGCATCAGTCTAAATATTCAATAAAATTAAATATATTAATTGTAAAATATATTATTTCTATATACCTTCTATTTTCTATTTAGACTATATTCAAAGCTTCAAATACATATTAAAAAAATTTTATAATACTTTAATTTTTTTTTAAAGAAATATTTAATTTTTTATTAAACAACTCTTAATTTTATATAACATCATTATCTCCTCCAAAATGAACTCTCCTTACTCTTTCTCTTTCTACATCCTGTTCTCTATTCTCTGCTCTTCTTGCTTCTAAATTTACTATTCTAGTTTGTAATCTTTCTCTTTCATCTATTAACTAATCGTAACTCACTTCTAACATCCAACTATATTCAACTCTCTTTACTGCTAAATTTCTTTGTTCTTCCACTACACCTTCTAAATTTCTTACTTGTCTTCTTAAACTCATAACTTTATTTCGCAATCTATATCAATATATTATCATTATTTTATATTTTATTATATTTATTATTATATTATATTATTTTATTTTATACATCTCCTGTTTTCATCTTGGACAATTTCTAATACCTTATAAAGGGCTTGACTACTATTTTAGAGAGCTCATATATGTTGACAATGAGTAGAATATTTTATTGTTATAATGGTTATTTTTTTTTTTAAAAAAAAAAATAATTTTTTTTAGAGTTTGTTATACAACTCCTAAAATTTATCAATCTGCAACAAACATGCAAAAATTATTGATTATTATTAGACAAAACTAAACTTTAAAAATTGTATGACAAACAAATTATCATTCAAGTCTTTAATAGTAAAGTGGTAATAATTTGTGACTGTTGCCAACAGCCATGAGTTCAAGACTAGCTAATGGCCTGTTAACTCTGCTAACAGGTTATGATAATAGCATTAGCACTATTTTATTTTATTATTTCTTTTATTATTTATTATTTTATTAATATTCATATCATTAACTTGTCTAACTTAGAAAATTTTTTATACCTATTAGTCTATATCCATAGAAATTAACGAACTACTTTTAATTCTTTTTTTTGTCTATGTTAGAATAATTTGAATCTTTAAATATTGACAATTAGAAAGATATTTTTTTCGATATGAAGATAATGCAAGAGTATGAGAACTCTAAAATATGGCTTTCAATTTACATTCAATCATATACTTATTTAGATATAAAATAATATCTATTAGTATTGTAATAGTTTTTAATTACAAACTCTAATTATTGTAAGTCATCATCCAATACTTTTTACAGAAAAGTAAAATTTTTTATACTGTATAACTATGCACTATGTGAAATTTTAAATAGAAAAATTGATATTATATTGGATGAACAAATAGTTTAATATAATAATTTAACCAAATATATTCAGAAGATAATAATTGGTCACAGGATTTTATTAGCGAAATTGTTAAAGAATTGTGTAATTTGTATAATGAAAAAATATCTAAAGGCAAAGATTCCAAATTAATTTTTGATATATTGGATATATTTCTAGCTAAAAAGAATCAGAATCTAGTAGATATTGTAAATTGGTATTTGAATAATGAAATAAACTCTATAGTTCAAATCATTCTTGCAAATTGTTATCATCTTGGTAAATGGGTTGAAAAGGATAAATATAAAGTATTTAGTTACAATCAAAAAGCAGCAGATATAGGTGATACCAATAATATATTTGGAGTTAGTTATTGTTATGATGAAGAAATCAAAGTGAAGAAAGATGAAACTAATGTGTTTGAATATTACTAAAAAGCTGCAGAC